CGCCGATGGTCCAAGACCCACATACACACATGCACACCCATCATCATCAGCATCGTCTTTCTCCCTCTCCTTCTCATCTTTGCAACTCGGCGAACTCCGGCGAGGTCGTGCGTGTCGACTCAATTTCGGAACACCTCCGATGATTTCACGGCAAATTTCATATATACAAATGTTCATCTCGTCTCCTTTTTCATTTTCATACCTAGATCGGAGTCTAGGGTCCTGTTTTACAGTCGGCCGGAGCTTCTACAGCTCCGGCGTTCTTCTCCGAGCGGTCAGCCACCGATATTATCGATAAATTCGGTAATATCGCGATATTATCACGAAAACTAGTTGGATATAGAAAAAAAAATCGGAACTTCTCAAAACCGATAATATCGGCGATATATCGCCCATATTATCGGCATTTCGGACCATGGTCTAGAAGGATAAATAACGTTATTTTTTTGAAATTAATAAGCTTTTTACTGGAATTAAAAATATTCATTAAAAGTGAAGCAATATATTTTATTTTTACTAAACAATTTTTTTTTGTTTACTTTAAAATGAAACAGTTTTTGGTGAAAAAAAAAAAGCAATACTAAACTGGGCAGAAGAAAAGTTGTGCTTCCCTTCCGTAACTTCCATATGTATCATCAGGTCCCAGTACCTCTCAGTGTTGTCTTTAATCTTTATGCTGCTGAGTTTGTTTAAACTCTAATTGTAATTGTAGGTTGATTTACACCAGTTGGGTAACTAAATATATGCAGGATCACATGTGCTACCGTTACAAAGGCAATTACGGTTGATAGGAATCAAATTCACTAAAATTATTGTAAAAGGCCTTAACTGTATATCCAGACGTGACTATATAATTGGAATGTAGTCAATTAACCGAGGTCTATAATCCATATATATCGATCCTTGAACCAATATATAGATATCCATGCATGCATGCCCACGGTTAAATAGATGATGAATGTCGTCAGTGTTGTAGAGACTGAAATTTTTGTCTCCAACCAAAACTAGTGGTATAAAATAATAATAAGCGAGCTAAATAATTCAGCATAGCTGGGGAACCCAATATTGCGCAATCCAATGTCTGGGTCCATGGATTCTTAACTTTTACAAATAATTGCGCGCATCTGGGACAGAAATCTGTATAATATATCACTTATGTATTAATGTATACTATATCACTGATCACGTACATTAATTCTCACAGTCGAGTCGTCGTCACAGAGCCATGAGGAGCCAATTAAGTTGTCGATCGCTGAATTCACCACTTGAACAAAAAACTGCTTGCCGTCCATTGTGTGTTTGTATTGTATGTGTGTTTTCATGGTTGTAACAAAAAGCTTGCTTACCCATTAAAAAAAAAAATGTTTGTGATTATATCCTTATAATTTTCTTCGTCAAATGTGATATTGTGAAGAATGGGTGAGGTCATTGCTAGTTTAGGCCCCACATATTATGCGACTTACTTCCTACAGTTCACACCTCATACACACGCGCGCACGCACACACGCACACCTTCTGTCATCTTTGCTTTTGAATCCAACAATAAAATGAGTAAATTAAAACATATAGCTTAACAAAGATAAAAAAAAAATATAAAATAAAGAGTCATTTACTCGTCAATTTGTCACAAATTTGTGCAGTATTTGATTGTCTCCAAGTATTTTCGGCTCTCCTTATATATTGCTTTCTCCATCCACATATAGTTTGTATTTAATTTAATTCCTAATTACATTTGGTATATATGGTTTAGTAGTGTGAGAACCTGTATTTTAAAAATATCTGTTTATTATTATTTGTTATTGTTAAAATATAAAAATCTATATTTGATGTTACATCCCACATCGTCCAGGGGTGAGGATCCTGTAAGCCTTATGTGTATATTCTCATCTCTACTTAGCACGAGGCCTTTTGGATCCTACATCGCCCAGGGGTGAGGATCGTGTAAGCCTTATATGTATATTCTCATATTTACCTAGCACGAGGCTTTTTGGGAGCTCACTGGCTTCGAGTTCCATCGGAACTCCGAAGTTAAGCGAGTTCGCGCGAGAGCAATCCCATGATGGGTGATCCACGGGAAAGTTCTCATGTGTGTTCCCAGAAACAAAATCGTGAGGGCGTGGTAGGGGCCCAAAGCGGACAATATTGTGCTACGGTGGAGTCGAGCTCGGAATATGGTGGGGGCTGGACCGGGTTGTGATATTTGATCTATATATATATATAAATGTGTGTGTGTGTGTGTGTGTATTTGAATGGACCTACACGTAGAGCCTTTGCAACTCAACAAAACCTTCATTTCCTTCTTATTAGACAGCACACAACCGCATAGCCATCCTTGTGTCCAACTTGTCATGTTTTCGTGTGACATTTATCATTCTTCTCATCACGGGTTGCCACTTGGCTTTCCCTCTCGTGACTCATCAAATATAAGTCACCTGTAGAAGCTACATAAGTATCTGTTTATTATTATTTTATTAAATTACTTAGCCATCTAAGTTTTAGCCAACTTATATGTCCCTATAAATAGGAGGCCCTGCTCCAGTGTTTTTCATCACGCGAAAGAATGGCAGCATGTAGCGCATGCAATAGTGTTATATATGTGTCTATATATATATATATATATATATATATATATATATATATATATATATGTGTGTGTGTGTGCGCGCGTGCGCGCGTGTGTGTAGAGAGAGATTAAGAAAGAAAAGAGAACGAAAGAAATATATGGCGCTAGGAGTGTTCAAGGAGCTTACTTAAGTACGTGGAGCTTAGTTATTCCAGTAGTGACGTGAATCTTTGTTTTAGCTTTGGAATCCTGGTAGGGGAAATAAGGCAGACCTCTACGGAAATTGATTTTATTAAATTTCGTGAAGTGCTTGGTTGATTAATGTGATTGAATATTAATTGGCTAATTGCTTCAGTTAAGTGTTTACTTGTTATTGGATATGTGTTATTGGATATGGAATTATTGTTGTAATGCTATTCGTTGAGAATATACAATGATACATGTGGAAGATAAATTAATATTATTTGTGCATCATTCATGTTGATGTGGTGGGAATTTCAATATTCAGATTGGAAGTATGGAAATGAGGGTAGTTGGAAAAGATCTTTTGTGTAGTTGAATCTATTCATTGTGAAACCCATTCCAGGCGAGCTCGATGTGCACAGTAGAATAGGATATCGATAGGAATTGTCGATGTGGGTGATTTGGGTTGGAGATCAATGAATTAGATAAGATGACTAGCAAAAGGGATTCATGAACTTGGGATATCATATGGGGGTTAGTTTCTATAATAGAATATTTAAACCCCCTCTTGTAGTGTCCCACAATGCTCAGGGGAGATGATCATCTATGCCTTATATGTACATGCTCACATCTCATTGCAAGACACGTTTTGGGAACTTACTGGCTCTAGATCCCATAAGAACTCCGAAGTTAAGTGAGTTTGGGCGAGAGCAGTCCTAGGATGGGTGACCCTCGGGAAGTTCTCGTGCCGAAACCCAATAACAAATCCGTGAGGGCGTGGCCCATTGAGGACAATATCTTGCTATGTGGATTAGGATGTGTGACAATTCGGTATCAGAGCCACTCACTGGCCGAAAGTGTGCCTACGAGGACATTGGGCCCCTAAGGGGGGTGGACTGTAGTGTCCCACATCGCCTAAGGGAGATGATCCTTTATGCCTTATATGTACATGCTCACCTCCCATTGCAAGACTCGTTTTGGGAACTCACTGGCTCCGGATCCCAAAAGAACTCCAAAGTTAAGTGAGTTTGGGCGAGAACAATCCTAGGATGGGTGACCCCCTAGGAAGTTCTCGTGCCGAAACCCAAGAACAAATCTGTGAGGGCATGGCCCAAAGCGGACAATATCTTGTTATGCTGACTGGGATGTGACAATTTGGTATCAGAGCCACTCCTGGCTGGAAGTGTGCCGACGAGGACGTCGAGCCCCTAAGGGGGTGGATTGTAGTGTCCTACATCCCCCATGAGAGAGGATCCTCTATGCTTTATATGTACATGCTCATCTCCCATTGCAAGACGCGTTTTTGGGAACTCACTGGCTCCGAATCCCATGAGAACTTTGAAGTTAAGTGAGTTTGGACGAGAACAGTCCTAGGATGGGTGACCCCCTAGGAAGTTTTTATGTCGAAACCCAAGAACAAATCCGTGAGGGCGTGGCCCAAAGCAAACAATATCTTGTTATGCGGACTAAGATGTGACACCTCTACAGGGGTAAAATGCATGGTGTGGGACATGCAAGTCCGCGTGTTTTATTATATAAATTAACGGGGGTAATTGAAAAGGTTTCATTGCATTCATGCATTATTATCAATAATGATTTGATATTTGGCTATATGATTTCATGACACTTAATTTAATATTATCAATTTATTGTGATACGGTTGTCCCTACTGAGCTATAGAAGCTCATCCCTCTATTGTTATGCAGGTTTACGAACTAAACACTCAAGAGGGTAGGCAGGATGAGATCGGATTAGATTGGAGTAGAGAAAATTTATTCATTTATTTATTGTAGGTTGTAAAGAATTCTTGATTTGTTTTAGAATCATGAATTATTTTCATAAGAGGAGTTCAGTTTTCCAACCCGTGTCAATTTCCTTTTATTTATTGAGCTTCTAACTCACATTTCGGATTCGGGTTCGAGTTTTTGTTGTCGACCCGGGTCTGAGGCGTGACAAGTAGTAATACAAATTGGAATTTACAGGCCTACAATCCCTAAGTTCTCGACATATATACTTGACCTTTTTTTATCTCAACCGTCGCATCTTGAAGTCTTATCATTTAAGGGTGCGTTTGTTACACCAAACTATCTTGGACTGGACTAGCTCTAGGGACTAAACTGGGCTGACTTAGAATAGACTGAGTTAGACTAACTTAGTGAAACGTTTGGTACAGTATCAGGCTAAGAAACGGGACTAACTTTTAATTCTAGTTCAATTCATAACCTTTCAATTAAATTAACAATTTTCCTTTATCTTTGCACAAAATTCTCCACAAATTTCTTGAAGATTTCAATATTCAAACAAGAACAAATTTTTGCAGAAGATAATCATGAAGCAAGGATCAAAAACATTGACAAACATTTCTATCATTGTCGTTCGCTGGAAACCTCAATCTTCAAATTGATGGAGAGATTAGCCAACCACGAAGCAAAGGTTAGCCAATCTTGAGTGGCATCTCTTCTGCGCAGGACAATCAGTTACCCAGATTTTGTTCAGACAAGGAAATGGCAGGGCATTGTCGTATACACTCTTCAACACCGATAGTGATTGCAAATACAGATCTGTGATTATTTTCCTCCAAATCAATTATTTTCTCCATTTTAGAGCATTCAGATACACTTAAGCGGTCGAGATTAAGGGCCGAAATCAACAACTTCACGAAGCTGCAAACAAAAAGAAGAACAAAAATTGAATTTAATATCCATTAAGATTTAGAATCCAGTCATTCAATTTATGTTTCTTCAAAGTTATAAACTTTTGATTGAATTTGTTTTGAATCAGAAAAAGAAGAAGAGGAGGTGGAAGAGATAACCTTGAGTCGAAGATAGGCTAGACTGGAGAACTCTTGTCTTTGCCGTCGATTGAGCAAGGCGAGGAGTCGAGCAGGACGACGCGAGAAAGAGGTAGTCTTAGGAGTCCGCTGGTATTTGGGGACCTTCACTAAGACCAGCTAGCTTAGTCCATGCGAGTGAAGTTTAATCCCACTAAAGCTAGTCCCTTCCTTTAACAAACATGGGACTACGGTAATTCTTAGTACAGTCAAGTACAGTGAGATCTAGTAAAGGTAAACAAACACACCCTAAAAGTTAAAGTTCAGTTCTAATGATTAAGTTCAAATACAAAGCAAGATGTGAAAAGCAAAATCTCCACAAACTCAACCAACTTCTAAAATATCAAAACTCGTCCCCAAGTAATATAATGACAAATCATGTTCCCATATCCATGTCCTTTCTTTGTCCAACTTATTTCTCTAAACAGAGATTGTCCTTAAGCCGCTCAATTTGTAGCAAAATTTCAAAGCAAAATGTACATATGTTTGTGTACCTACAGACACAAATCAACAGAAAAAAAGTTAGGGTAAATAACATTTTACCCTCTCAGGTTTGGGTTCGATTTCAATTCCTTACAACATCTTTAAAACATTTCACTTTCATACCTCACATACTATTTTATTTCAATATAATACGTCCATTACATTTTCTATCAATTGGTCCGTTAAGTGCTGACGTGGCTGCCAAAATTGTGCCATGTGGCAAAAAAAATATTTTTCTACATTAAAAATATTATAATATTAATCCTATTAAAAAAATATTAAAAAAAACCTAACCCACATCCCCTTCCTTCCCCCTCACCTCTCTGCAACTCCCATTTACAAAATCCACCACTCAGTCCGCGGTTCATCCCCATTGAAGCACTTCCATACCTAATTCTACCCACCAACCCATTTACAAAATCGCCACTCTGAAACCCTAATAACCTAGCCCCCCAAACCCGTAGAGCGTTCTGCCCAGGCCGTTGAAAAAGTCAGAGTCGACGAAGAGGCTCCGGAGGTGGGTAGCGATAGCGGTGGAGCCGAAGTATGTGGTGGGCTTGGGGGTGGAGGAGAAAGGGTTGGGTGGTTGGCCCCCGGATGAGTCGTCAGACTTGAGAAACATGGCGATGTTGTCGCTGCCGCTGCCATGTGGCAAGAGGTTGGGGAAGGCTAGGCAGAAGAGGTCGAGGTCGGAAGAGTCAAAGAAGAGGAAGTCGTCGAAGGTACTGATTTGTTTGAAGGTAGGGGGTTTGAAGAAGAGGAGGTCGTCGGAGGGGATGGAAGGAGGGGGGTTTGGGTCCTAATTTGTTTAAAGGTACTGATTTTATTAGCAATCCATTAGGGTTTAATTCAAATGGATTTTGGTTTTTTTTCCTTAAGGAAGAAGATATTAGAGTTATGGAGGTTTAGAAAGAGATGAAGAGAACTGAGAGGGAAGAAAATAGAATTGCAAAAGTCATAGTGATGCGGCAGTCGGACGGGAAAGAAGAGATGGGTAGGGGTGGGGTGAGATGGGGGTTTTGGGTTGTGGGGAAAGGGAAGGGGTCGAGGAAGAATTTCTGGTTTTTTTTTTAATTTTTATTAATAGGGTAAATTATTATAATATTTTAAATGCATAAATTTTTTTTTTTACCACGTGGCAGCCACGTCAGCTTTTAACGGACCAATGGATGAAATATCTAACGGATGTATTATATTGAAATAAAATATTACGTGAGATATATTTAAAGATGTTGTAAGGAATTGAAATCAACCTCAAACATGAAGGGGTAAAATGTAATTTACCCTAAAAGTTAAAAGATGACTTGATGATTAGAATGAAATTCTTTATATCAACGCTTAAAACCCAAATGCTATCAAACCAAGGGCAAGGGAATTATCAAAATGAGAAGAGTAAAGCAGACCTTTTGACAAAGAAAAAAATAAATAAATCAGGCGTTGTTCTCCATATTATTGGCAAAGCTAGGACTTGTAGGGCAAATAAGTAATAGTAACCTGAAGAGAAAAAGTTTATCCCGAGTTTTTTGAATTCATTTGCACTATGACCATAGTTAAAAAATGGAGTGGGAGAAAAGAAAATGAGATTAAAAAAGAACACACATCAAAGAGATATAAAATATTTACACCAAAGATCTAAAGTAGATTAACAACAAATTTGTAATTACATCAAAGATACATACTCAAACAAATAAGGTTTTTTAGCCAAAATGGTCATTGAGATTTGCATAACACATCACTTTGGTCCCTGAGATTGAAAATCAATAGAAATGGTCTTTGAGATTGTCTACCATCCATTATTTTAGTCATTTAGTTAAAAACTCTGTTAAGTGTCCCAGAGCTCTTGGCCGAAAGTTTGGACAATTTTCAAAGCTTCGTAACTCAATTGTTTCTTAACCAAATTCGACCCATAATATATCAAAATGAAGATGGCTGTAAAATAGCCTGAAAGGTAACTGGTCCGCGAGAAAATTGGAACTCACCGGAAACTAGATAAACTTTAAATGTTCATAACTTCTTCAATACTCAATGAAATCAAGTGATTCAAAAACAAAAATCATACTTCTCAACGAGACGAAGAGAATGGTATCTTTCTCGATGGCTAAATCACCGTGGTTTGGCCGAAAAACTGCTCGAAAGTGGCTATCTTTGACACACCCCGACCTAGGAAGGTCAAAGCATGCTGGCCATCACCGTGAGGTGACGTAACCATGAGGGTAAATAATGTGAAAAAGTGAATAAATTTAAACCTAAAGGTGCCTAAAACAAAAAACTGCACGGGTGAGCGGGATTGAACCCTTTTCACACGTGATGATAGAGCATAAGACAGTATAATGAATATGATAAGAGTTATACCACTGAAGGTAACCATCTCCTGAGATTTGCTAGAATCCTTGTAAATACGTAAGCACGGCTACTAAACCTCGAAGGGCGAAAAACAAAGTTGAGTGGGTCAGCAAAACAACATTTTGTAAAAACCTTTATTTTCGAATATACTAACCCCTCGTCGTAAAACAAGTATAGTCTCCTTAAAACATACTACGTAAGTATGTAAACAATAATACAACAACATTATTGTCACATCCCGACCCGGGGTGGACTCACTTTTCTCCTAGGAACTCACGAGCCCAGTGGGTCACCATCCTGGGACTTGCTTCCCGGAACCCGAAGCCAATGAGCTCCCAAACGGCCTTATGCAATATACATTTAAGGATCACTCCCCTGGGCGATGTGGGATGTTACAATCCACCCTCCTTAGGGGCCCGACGTCCTTGTCAGCACACTTCCAGTCAGGGATTGGCCCTATTACCATTTGTCACATCCCGTCCCGGGATGGATCACTTCCCGGGCTCGCTCCACCACCGTAGCACGATATTGTCCGCTTTGGGCCCTGACCACGCCCTCACGATTTTGTTTCTGGGAACTCACGAGCAACTTCCCAGTGGGTCACCCATCCTAGGAATGCTCTGACCCTCTTCTCACTTAACTTCGGAGTTCCTACGGAACCCGAAGCCAGTGAGCTTCCAAAAGGCCTTGTGCTAGGTAGGGATGTGAATATACATTTAAGGATCACTCCCCTGGGCGATGTGGGATGTTACAATTATAACTAGAAATATGCCAAGTCATGATATATAAATGCCCCAGTAATAAAATCATGTGATAATCAAGTATAGCCAAGTGCTCATCCATCTAAGCTAACACACGAGTTCGAACAGATAATTTCTGACACGAATAAAACTAGGTGTAATCAATATGCTCTAGTACTACAATCACGTGTAGACTGGTGCAGAAGCACATCACATACAAGTCGGATTTCCTAATGCAATATACCCGACAGGACTGGCACCTAACTTGGATCCAAGGCGAGCGAATGGTGCGCTGTGAACATACACGTGAAGGACTAGCCCTGGCCCTGGGGTGAGTACTAACACCGGTGCAGCAAGATGAGCATGTACAGATATGTATGAATGTCATGACAGTAATATCCCAACCATATAGCAGCATTTATCACATTTAATGTCACCATAACAAATACTTGGCAATATAAGCGTAAAAGTGAAGTAACTACGCATTTAGGGAAACTATCAATATGTATAAGCATAAAATAAACTGCCCACTCACAGATACGCAGTCGAAACGAAGCCTCCTAGCCTTGCTTGACCTCGTACGTCCTCGGGGATACGTTTCCCCTATATGTGAAATAACTTATTAACCTAGTTTAATAACACATACACGGAAACTTAAATAAAACCTCCGTAGATTGCTCAAACATAGGGTTTGAATACATGAAATCGATCTACTCGACGTCACGGACACACACTTGTCCACCACACGTCAGCCGGAGGCCGGACGTGCCGTCACGCGCCGCCACAAGAGGCTGCACAACCTGCCACACGCTGCATGTGCCAATGGCATGTAGGTGGTCACGTGCGTTCACATGCTTGCGAGTATGCATGTACTCGCCTTCTCCACGATTTTCTGCAATTTTTATGGATTTTGGGCCAACTTCCTGAGCCCCTAACGAGCTAGATTCTCATCCAAAAACACTTCTACAAAAGCCAAATTAAAGCTAGAAATGAGATGAATCAATCTATATTCACAGAAAGTTCAAATGTGGTCCGTGTCATCCAGGAATTTGGCCTGAAAGTGGCCAAATGGCCATGGTCAAACTTTTCCAGAATTTTGGGAATTTCTTCCCAACTTTCAGGGTTGTTTTCTAACTGGATAGTTAACCAAAATCAGTGATTCAAAAGCCATTTTGAAGTTAGGAATATATAGAATAAGTCTATACCTATTAGAAATCCAGTCGAGGTCGAGGTTGGCCGGAAATCTAGTCTAAAAGTGGCCAAATGGCCACGGATCCTTGTTGGAAAAATTTCGGGATCTCTTCCTCCGAGTCATTTCAATGTTGACCTTCCACTAAGATGTTTGAAATGAGTCACATATCCATAATTTCAATGAGAGGAATTCAAAACCAATGTCCAGAGACCTTACCTTAGTTGAACTCGATAAGAACTCTTCGGAGAAAATGATGAACAGTTGCAGTGACCACTATGCAGTGCAAGCTCCACGCTTGGGTTTGAAGTTCACGACCTGAGCTTATAGAGATAGGATGGGATAAAGCACAATGGTGGTCTGATTACCTAACTCGTCGAAGAAGTCGAGTGGTCGTGACTGGGGTTAGTGCATGGCCTTTCGGCCTCTCTGCTTGTGCAGAGAAAATAGAGAGGTTTTCAGAAGGAATGAAGAGGAAAATAGAGAGAATGAAGTCAGTTTCTGATTGGTGCCAAGTTTGAGGGAAAAGAAAGTGATTGGTCAAGAGGGTTTTAGGGAGAAAGGAAATGATGAAAGGGATTGGTGGAAAATAAAATTGGTTTGTTAGGAAGAAGGGGACACGGATCCACCAATCAAGGGAAGAATTTGATTTCAGATTTTTAACAATTTTTAATGTAAAAGATATGCTTCCTTACAGTGTTTCCGACACTGCTAATTTGTACGCGCATGTACAAAAGTACTCGTGATTACGTACTTTAAAGAAACGTAACTTTTTCGTTATAGATCCGTTTCGGGTCTAACTCGCGTCCACGCGTTCATAGCGACGACTACTAATTTAGTACGAAACCATGAAAATGAAACTGAAAGCCGAAAATCACGTCCACGTCACATTCCACTTTTGTCCAAAAGGGGTAAAATCGTCAGTTCACACCAATGGGAAAAGAAATTACAGTGAAAAGTAGGAATGGGTCGTCACAATCTTGGTCTCAAGTTAGCCACTTTCGAGCTGTTTTCCGCATCAATCGTCAAGTTGGTCAATTTTCTTGAAGAGTACACTGCAATTGTAATATCAACCAGTCATCTTTACTTATAGGTGAAGAATGAAATGAATAAAAAAAATATTTGAAAGTTACAAACATATTTGGTTAAATATCTTTACTATTAGTAATATATATTGCTTTCCGACTAAGAAGACGTCCATCGTTATATAAGGGGAGCACACCAACCATAATTTCATCTCTATTTTTCCTAACACACAGATTAAATATCATTAGCTAGCATAAAGAGAAAAATTACCAGATTGAGGAGACAGGGATTCTTTCATTGATCTAAAAAAAAGCCCTTCTGGATTAATTAATCTAAAAATATGACTTTAACCCCTAAAACTTAATTTTCTCTACATAAACCCGAGATAAGTTTTTTTTCTTGAATAAAACCATTGACTAGATTCCACATCAGCAAATTCATTAATTATGTTTGACTTCACACATTAAAAAAATTTCGGATGCCTAAACTACCCCTATTTGAATATTTTTATTTTTTTATAAACCCTATTTGAATGTTTGATGTACATAATTAATGCCATGCGGATGGATGGTAAGGGAGAATTAATGATTTTACAAAAAAACAAAAAAACAATAATGTTATAAATTCATTGCCTAATATATAATAACATAAAACATGTCCAATATATGTTACTATACATGCTTAATTAAGTCAATAAAATTATATTTTACATATTAATGTAGGTAAATTATTTCTCTCTCTCTCTCTCTCTCTCTCTCTCTCTCTCTCTCTCCCTCCCTCTCTCTCTCTCTCTCTCTCTCTCTCACACACACACACACACAAACACACATATATATATACCTGATATATGTAAAATTCATGCAAAATAATTTACCTACAAAAAAAAAACATTTGATTCAAACAGTGCACCTACTATTAAAATTTTAAAATGTTAGATTGCTTAAAAAAAAAGAAAAATAATATACCCAGTATATGTAAAATACATGAAAAATAATTTACCTACATAATAACAAACCCATATATGCAAAATAAAGTACCTATTATTTAATTTTTACGAAAATTGTGAAACTATTGTGTAATTTAAAAAAAAAATTACATATTGTTTATTTTTTTATGAAAATAAGGTAACTATTGTTTAGTTTTTACAAGAAACAATGTATCTACTAGTTTATTTTTGTTTACACCATATTCAGGGTCTCCGTATTTAGATCTCATACAAATATGCAGGGGACTTAAATGTAATTATGTAATAAAGGAAGGGGCAAATATGTAATAAGTGAGGAGCCCTTATTCTATAAAAGGACTCATCACCCTCACAATAGAGGGAGGCCAATTCCTAGGCCCTCTAACCCTCAGAAACTCTCTCATCCTCAATACTCTCAGAAATACATAATCAGTGTGGACGTAGCCCAAACCTTGGGGTGAACCACGATACATCTTGTGTTCTTTACATTTCATGCAGATTCACGGTCGGATTTACGTTGTTCCAAGACCTCCGGTTTTGTGCATCAACATTTGGCGCCGTCTGTGGGAAACGATACGAAAAGTTATGTCGGTTCTCTTTCATTTTTCACCTCTATCATGAATCTGCAAAAAACTTCTAGTACGATCAAATACAATTCAACCCCAGTTTCTTCTAGTTTTCCGTCTAAACACCTCCATTAAACACATCTCTCTTTCTCTCCCTCGATTTTCGTGTTCCATTTCAACTTTTGTTAAAGCCCACTATCTTTCTCTCATTCCAAGAACTCTCTCCCAACTGGAGAGAAGAAAGAAAAAAAAAGCTTAATTTAAGCACTTTGAGATCTGGGATTTTTTAAAAAATAAGGAGCAAATGAAGGAAAAGGCACTAGGGCTGAATCTGTGTTTACATCTTCCCAAAACACTAGAGGATTCATCATCCTCCTTTATGGACTCAACTAAGAGGTTGTCGGCGACGAGAGGCTGCCCTGCTTTCACATGCCAATTGGGCCAAATACGGTGTGAAGCACCGGTGCCGAAGATCCCCCGCTAGAGAACCGATGGTCCCTGAGGGCCACGTCCCGATCTACGTCGGCGACGAGATTGAGCAGTTCGTGGTCAGCGCTGAGCTCCTGAACCACCCAGTCTTTGTCGAACTCCTTAACAATCGGTGCTGAGCATTCGTCAAAATCGAGATCTCTATCTCTCTCGCATCTCTCAAAAGCTTTTTCTTCTGCTGCTTCTTCTTCTACCATGTCAAATGAGAGGAAAAATCCTTACCAGTACGATCCTTTCGACTACAACCACCATGAGATCAACAAGTCAAGCTTTCCATTCTTCAACTATGGCAATTCCTCCACATACCAAAACCAACCAGATGACCCACAAACCCTAAATGGGTTTGAATCTGATCATCATAATCCGTTCATGAGCTTCATCGACTGCCTACACGGATCATTGGACTACAACACCCTCTTGAAAGCTTTCGACATGTCTTGTTCTTCATTCGAAGTCATTTCTCCACCGTTGGATCATGATAACAACTCAAACAAGCAGCCGGCAGCAGCAGGTGTACGAGATCACTCAGTAGGGACTACTAGTACCACTAAAAACCCTTTCACACCAAATTATTCTTCAATATTTTCTTCATCTAATGAAGCTGCTGGTGCTGCTGGTGATGATCAAGTTTTAGATGAAGATTCATATCATAAGAGAAAGAAAGATAAACAGCCAAAATTAGGGTATGATGGAGATCATGAAGACAAGTCAAAGAAAGGTTGTAGCTCTTTTTTGCTATGATGGTGTCTGAAGGATTCTGTTGGGGACGGGTAACCCACTGCTTGACATCTCTGCCGTCGTCAACGAGGAATTCATACAAAAGGTTTGGAGCAGCATAGGGCCTAAAAGGGCGAGGTCTCTCAGCATTCGTCAAGATCGAGATCTCTATCTCTCTCTCCACACCATTGTCCCTTACCTCTTGCCCTCCGCCTCCTCGAGGCTGTCCACTTCCACATCGCCGCTACAGGCCACACCAACAATGAGCTTCACGGTCGGAGTTTTCAACAGTGGTGTTTGTTCACAATCAACAGTGGCGTTTATTCTGCAATGACTCAAAGTTCAGTGTGCGTACCCTCTGAGTTTTCAATCAATTTTAGGAATGATCACAGTCAACAGTGGCGTTTGTTCTGCACTGGCTAAAGGGAGGCTTTACTTTTGAAAACCCCGAGAGTCACGAGGATGCTAAAGTTGGCGAATCCAATGCCACTTTAGAAAAAGAAGTCACAGATTCAGCTTCAACGGCAGTAACCAGTCAAACCCAACTCAGAGGGGGTGGGCAACAAAAGCAGAAAGCAAAAGATGTCAAAGAAATTGAGTGGGAGAAACAAAAGCAGAAAAGAAAAGAGAAAAGAAGAAAGCAAAAGCTAAGCCTATTATTATGATTCCTTTTGTCTACCAAGTGAAGAGAAGAGACAAAGAGGTGCAGTGGAAAACAGGAAAATAGAAAGCAAAAGAGAAAGCAAAAGCAAAAAGAGAAAAGTAAAAGCAAGGAATAAACACCCCATCAGAATGATGTGAGGGCAAAGCCCAAAATAAATGGGCTGGAATGTTGTGTAGAAGGCGAAAGCCCAAAAGCCCAAAATAGCTCCAACCAGAAATCAAAAAGCTACCAACCAGCAAGTCAAAAGTACAACCAGTCCACAATATTAGCCCAACCACCAAGTGATCAAAAGTACGCCCAATACTCCAAAATTATTCGGCAACCTGCCGCTATTACCACTAACCAGGTGATCAAAAGTACGCCCAATACTCCACAATTATTCGGCAACCTGCCGCTATTACCACCAACCAGGTGATCAAAAGTACACCCAGTACTCCACAATTATTCGGCAACCTGCTGCTATTACCACCAACCAGGTGATGAAATGTACAACCCGTACTCTCCTTCATGCCACCAACCAGGTGATCAAAAGTACGCCTAGTACTCCAAATTATACTGAGCATTATACATGAGCATTACTCATGTCATTCATACATAAACATTCATGAGCATCACTAATGACAATCATACATAAACATTCATGACCATTATTCATGTCAACATTCATGAGCATCACTCATGACTACATCCATGAGCATCACTTATGTCAATCAGCTTCAAAAGCTTCATTTACAGAGCTCTAGCTTCAAAAACGTCATTTACAGAGCTCTAGCTTCAAAGCTTCACTTGCAAAGCTTCACCTACAAAGCTTTAGTGCAGGGTATACAAATACCACATCTGAACAACCGCCACATTCTTCATACATGGATTCAATTTGAAGTCTCCAGCCAACATACTCTATTGACCGAAGACTTAGGGGACTAACATTAGGTACCACATTATTGGGCCATCAACTAGGGCCTCATGAAAAACTTAGGGACTTAGCCCATTATTTATGTATGTATTAAGGAGCGAGCGCTTTTATTCTATAAAAGGATTATTTTATAAAATGGACTCCCTCACCTTCATTAGAGAGCAACGCCGCCATC